GTCTAAACCAGGACTAAACCAGGTCTCCTAAACCAGGTCTAAACCAGGTAAACCAGGAAACCAGGACTAAACCAGGACTGTAAAACCAGGACTAAACCAGGACTAAACCAGGACTAAAACCAGGACTAAACTAGGACAAAACCAGGACTAAACCAGGTCTAAACCAGGCGTGGAGCTCTGTGCCGGTCATTTACCTGTGGCCACCCAACAGTCTACTCAGACTGTCCCGACATTCAGAACCGTCATGATGCCGTTTCATCGCTGTTGGTATCGCGGTGATTTTAGCAAATTTGTATGAAGAAAAACAAAAAACCCACCACTTCAATCCAGGTTAAAAAGCATTGTGACGCGCTTTACTGACATTGTACTGAGTGAAAAATGTTAATTTTTCCTCTGTGGTGCTGAACATTACTGCGTTACAGCAAAAAGCAAAGCATTACAGTTATTTGTTACTTTTATAACACATTACTCCCAACACTGTCGACAGGTATTGCGCCTTGTTGCTAAGAGTTACTTGCAGTGTGGGTGAAATGGGGCGTGTATTTTCAACAACCTCACTCCTGATTGGCTCTTTGGTTGCCATGAAACACACACTCGGAATTTCACATACCAGATTTAGCATTTTTTGTCCAAACAACACGAAAATTGGCGCTGCACACACCCGTCCCATTAAGATGACACCCTCCGAATTTGAGATGGGTTAGATGAGTGGTTTGAGAGTTTTGCGTGGAACAGACAAACAAACAGAAAGACGTTCCTTGAATTTATAGATAGATGGAACTTGGCTTCAAATTAAGCCTATTTGCACGGGATAAATACAACCCGGGGACGTCTAATTTGCAAATTACCGCCCCAACTCTCAGTTTCTTGTGGCACATTCACATGGGAAAAGCAAAGTCTGTAAATTACTCTATTTTACTGACACTGACATAGAGATGGAAAGAGAAAAGAACGTGGAAAGAAAAGAAAGAGATTGAAAAGGCGCGAGATTACAACAAAAGATGCAGATTCGTACGTGACTGTTATTATCACTTTAAAGTAGGTCATTTGCTTTGGAATTTTCACTTTACGTGGCGCATTCACACGGGATTAAGAGCTCAGGCATCCTCCGCAATTATTACACATTACCAAAGGTCCACGCGGCCCTACAGAGGCAAAAGACTTTAACTCACCGGAGTGTTAAACTGAGATAAATGACTTCAAAGTTTCTGTTACAAAACTATAAGAGGTCGGGCTCCCAAAACACTAGTCGCTATAATGAAGAAATATTTGTACGCGAAAAATATTGAGCTCAAACTTGACCTTCGACTCTTATTTGTCCGTTCCTGTTCTCTGCCTTTGTATCATGAGCCAAAAATAAGAAGTTGTGCAAAAGTAAAAAGCAGAAACTGACATGATCATTATTTGCTTGATTTTCACCAGACTTAAATCCATTATAAGAAAAACACCTCAGTAATCCTGGTGTTTGTTTGAAATGATCTAGAAGAGCTTTGGATTTCCTGTTTAGTGCTGATCAGGATTGTCATGTCTTTGGGGTTAAAAGACTTTTATATTTTAAAAAAGCTTAATAAGTTAGATAAAAGTTATAAATAATTCATTTCATATTTGCAAAATGAAAACAATTTTTTGGGTAAAATCATCAGAGTAAAACATCTTCTTCACCTTTAAGGATTGTTTATTTTCAGTACGGAGTGAGCGCTCCTGTGTCATAGGCCCCGTCCACACTAGTACGTATCTGAGTTGTTTTTCTTGTGGATGCAGTTTTCGTCCACCCTAATCCGATTGAAAACGGCTCTAGAGATGGAACGATCTGGTGCAAACAAATTCATCTGAGTACAGATCTGATCCAGCACAGTGTGGACACCTGAAAACGTTGATACACTGATGTAGGTCTGTAGGGAGGATAGGGAGCAGCAGGTCTCTCCAACAGCAGAATACGGAATGGTACACTCAGGCGCCTTATACACCACTGGATAAAACCATTAAAACTCCAGGGGATGTAAAATAACCTTAACTGAATAGACTTTAAAATCCTCCAATAAAATACCCATAACCAAATAAACCATATAAAACCCAGATACAAAAGATAAAACCCTAAAACTAACTCCTCATAAAACACAACGTTAGTAACCCAAACTGACGTCTGCTGTCTGTCGTGAGTTGGCCCGGAACTCTTAAAAGGTGAATCTTTTAGCCAGACACATGGACACAAGACACGGGTAAGTAAAAGCACTGACAAATAACACACATACATGCACATACCACTGTGACAGAAATTTAGATTGTGGAAATATTTCTTTCATTCTATCTTTGTGTAAATGAATGTGATTTCTACCTGAAACCCAGACCAGTCATTAACATGTGTAAAAGTTCATCAGACACAACTGTCTCCTACTTCAGGAAGCCCTTTGTCGTCCTCAGCTGTATGTTAATTTAGCACCAGCCTCTGAAACCAAAGTCACCCTGCTTTGTTATGTATGTAACTTGTATTTCTGTATAAATACTCAGCTCAAATGCTCTGGGGCAGATACCTGGGGAGATACTTGGAAGATGGGGCAATACTGCTGGTAGAGAGAAGCTGTTGGGCTTTGGCCAGAACAGGCCTAGGCCCTGTCCATATCTGGTAAATGGTAAATGGTCACATTTTTCTATAGCGCTTTTCCACCTTCAAGGCACTCAAAGCACTTTACAACAAGGAACCACTCACCCACACGCACATTCATACACCAGTGTACAAGCAAGGTGGGTTAAGTGTCTTTCCCAAGGACACAATGGCTACGCTCAGACTGCAGCCTGAAGTGACCCAAATCCAATTTTTTGGCCCCTGTGTGACCTGTATCTGATCTTTTAATGACAGTCTGAACGACACAGATCCGATTTTTTCAAATGTGACCCAGGACACTTGGATATGTGCTCCTGAAACCGATACATATCTGATCTTTTGACATGCGACTTCAGTCTGAACGGCCAAAGCGCATTCATCCGACCTACACGTTACAAATGTGTGACAAACATCACTATTCTGCGCTGAAGTAGGTGAAAATTGTTAATGAACTCCGTGTCACTGAAGTGAAGCACATCACCACTCACCACTCTTGGCTCCGTCTCCACATCCACACGTTCCTTTCAATGGACGTTGCTGCCGCTGTCCCACAAAACGCCACGGCCAAAAACCTCGTCCTTCTCCTTCTCAGTCTCCTAAAACTAGTAAGTTGTTCATGTTCTGGCTCTGGTACAAGAGAAACTTTAAAATCTCCAGGTGCTCAATGCTCGTGTCCATGTTTGGACAACTTCCGTAAACACAGAGCACGCTCGCTGCGGTTGACGTCGTCGTGTCTCCAGTGCACATGCGGGACACAAAAAATCGGAATTGAGCATTAAGCCCTGCAGTCTGAACGTAGCCAATGACAGCATTCATCTGTGGGAGCTGGAATCACACCAGCCAACCTGTGGGTCAGTGGATCTGACCGCTCAACCAATGATGTTTATGTCAAGAGTGGGATTTGAACCGCCAACCTTTAGATCAGTGGACAAACGCTCTGCCGCTACTGCTGCTCAGTTGGTAGTTGGTAATCTGCTGTAACAAGAATAAACTTTGGTCTATATTCCAAAAACTCACCGGGCTTCGCTAATGGATTCATTATTTTATCTTCAAGAGATATATAATTTTTGCCACAACACCACTCTCAAACTTTAAAATATCCACATGACACACGCGCGAACACACACATGACATAACAAATTTAAAATACGGCATATATTTTAAAACAAAACAAACGTGTAAAATTTTATATTTATATGTGCAAATTAGCATATCTTGTAAGTGCTGCGTGCTATAAAAGTGCAATGTAGATATGTATAAAGTGCAAAGTGAATGAAAGTGCATGTGTGAATATTTCTATGGTAACGGACACCACTTCTAAACACTCAAACAAGCAAATTGTTATTTTATTCATTTTTGTAGTGATAACATTGTTTTAGCTTTACGGATTTTTATTTATAGTTTTTACTCTATAGTTTTACGGTCTTTTATTGTCTTAATTTGTCTGTGCATCACTTTGGAAACCGTCATGTTTATAAAATGTGCCGTATAAGTGGACTGGTTTGGATACTCAAAATTTCACTTTTGTTTAAATTTTTTGTACATTTTTTTGCAGAGAATCTCCAGTGAAAGGTGCAGAACCGCCCACTCGCGCTTGGCTCGCTGTAGCGCTGGGTCTAAATCTACACAAATGTGGCGTGTTCGCTCGCAGCGCCCCGGGGCTCGCTTTAATTGGCAGATTCAGGCTGTCGTCCGCGGACCATTCTCCCAATAATCTGACAGCTCCAGACTGCGGAGGTGTGCAGAGGAGGGCACGGAAATCACACCGAAAACTGGATATTTTTTATACCGGTGTTAGAGTTTGGGAGTCCAGTAGGATTTGTGTCAGTGTAAAGGTCCGATATTACAAAAAAAACTGACTCCTGTGAGCTTCAAGACATGTTATAATACCTCCTCAAAAACAGACCTGGAGTGTTTGAAAAATCCTTTATTATTCTGTCTGTCTACATCTCCAAAGCTCAAAATTGAAAATTGAAGTGGTAGTTTTCAAGTTAACAGCTCCTTTTAGCTTTTGTTCAGTAGAGATTGTGAACTCAAGAGCTGGAATGATCCAGATGATTCTAGTGAAGGCATATGGAGTTTAAAAAGACAGTGGAGCACTTCCTGTATTATCACATGACATCACAAGGTGGAACAGAGTGCTTTCACTTTGAGAAAAGAAACAATAAATATGCAGGGTTTGTGTGTTAAACATGTGTGAATGAAACAAAACTCCAGGTCTGTTTGTGATGAGGAAACAACATTATAACATAGAACATCAGAAAAAAGCGTAACATGGGCCCTTAAAGCCTGAATAAATAGTTTGCCTGGGCCATGGACTGGTACCGCACCATGGGTCGTTTGGTACCGGGCCGTGAAAGAGCGAACCCCCATACACCACGAGGACTGCTCCTCCCGTATGCCTCCTCCTGTACGCCACGAGGACCACGTCTCCTCCAGTACGCCACGAGGACCACGTCTCCTCCTGTACGCCACGAGGACCACGCCTCCTCCTGTACGCCACGAGGACCGCTCCTCCTCCTGTACGCCACGAGGACCGCTCCTCCTCCTGTACGCCACGAGGACCACGCCTCCTCCTGTACGCCACGAGGACCACGCCTCCTCCAGTACGCCACGAGGACCGCTCCTCCTCCCGTACGCCACGAGGACCGCGCCTCCTCCCGTACGCCACGAGGACCGCTCCTCCTCCCGTACGCCACGAGGACCACGCCTCCTCCTGTACGCCACGAGGACCACGCCTCCTCCTGTACGCCACGAGGACCACGCCTCCTCCTGTACGCCACGAGGACCACGCCTCCTCCTGTACGCCACGAGGACCACGCCTCCTCCTGTACGCCACGAGGACCACTCCTCCTGTACGCCACGAGGACAGTGCCTCCTCCCGTACGCCACGAGGACCACGCCTCCTCCTGTACGCCACGAGGACAGTGCCTCCTCCCGTATGCCACGAGGACCACGCCTCCTCCAGTACGCCACGAGGACAGTGCCTCCTCCAGTACGCCACGAGGACAGTGCCTCCTCCCCCGTACGCCGAAGGACGCTCCTCCCCTGTACGCACGAGGACCGCTCCTCCTCCTGTACGCCACGAGGACCGCCTCCTCCTGTACGCCACGAGGACAGGCTCCTCCCCGCCACGAGGACCGCTCCTCCTCCAGTACGCCACGAGGACCGCTCCTCCTCCTGTACGCCACGAGGACAGTGCCTCCTCCCGTACGCCACGAGGACAGTGCCTCCTCCCGTACGCCGCAAGGACCGCTCCTCCTCCTCCTGTATGCCACGAGGACCGCGCCTCCTCCTGTACGCCACGAGGACCGCGCCTCCTCCTGTACGCCACGAGGACCGCGCCTCCTCCTGTACGCCACGAGGACCGCACCTCCTCCCGTATGCTGCGAGGACCACACCATTTCCTGTACACCTCCTCCCGTACGCCACAAGGACCTTGCCTCCTCCCATACGCTGCGAGGACCGCGCCAACTTCCGTATACCTCCTCCAGTACACCACGAGGGACGCACCTCCTCCCCTACACCTCCTCCCGTAAGCCTCCTCCCATACACTGTGAGGACCGCACCTCCTCCCGTATGCTGCGTGGATCGCGCCTCCTTCCGTACGCAGCAAGGACCTCGCCTCCTCACACACGCTGTGTGCGCTGTGCTTCTAAACCAGAACTAA